CTGTCATAGTTGTAGGTTTTGCACTATCCCCTTGCAAAGGTCCATACAAATCTTTGCAATACAAGAGATCTTTCATTCTTGGTTTCCATATCATCCAATTATTTCCATTCAAACTAATCATGCGAGAAACATTACTGGCCTCCATGTTCAAATACAAAAATTAAATCACCAAAACCCCGCTCTTATACCAGTTGATGGGGATATAAACAGGAATAACCTTTGTATAGGAACAAATACTAGAAGACCAAAATACGCAGCGGAATAAAATGGAAACACAATCAAACAGAACACCAAGATATACGTGGAAAACCCCTTCAATGTGAAGGGTAAAAACCACGGGGCGAACTAGAGATAATCCACTATGAGAATAATGAATGTATAAATCTCAATCTCTTGCCCAAAACCCTAGCAACAACCACAAGAGAATAACTGGGATACAAGGATCACGTCACTGCCCACAATATCTAAAACCTCCCAAGTAATCACAACAAGAGCCTACTGTAGATTTGATCTAACCTGAGATGAGAACACTGCTAGATGATTGAGAACAGTCTCTCTGCGTTGTCCTTGTCTTCTTCCCTTTCTTTCTCTTCCTTTTCTGCCTTGTTCTCCTTCTTCTCTTTGGAATCTCGTGGCTCCAAAGATCTGCCTCGTTGCTGCCTTTTTATAGCCTTAATCTGCCTCTAAAACACACCACCACACCCCCTAATCTTAATTGGGGTTAGGTTAAGAGGGGGTGTGGGCTATGGGCTGTGGGCTGATAAAGCCCACATGGGCTGAATATGGGCCATCAGCCCAACATGCAACACCGTGAGAACCAGCAGCACAATGGCGGCGACAAGCAAGAGAAGGCTCCAAGGGCTGCTGAAGTGAGTGTGCTTCAAGTTGGCCCACCACCTGTTCCGGCGCCTCCCGAAGTAATATTTAACCTCCCCATACACGTCGCCAAGGATGCCTTGCGGCGGCCTCATCGCTCCCGAACGCGTTTTTATAGGGTTCGACGTAGTTAGAGACTGTATCGACTGAAATTACCTAATGATAAGAGCAAAAGAGAAAGTTTTATTAGCTCCGAATCAACATACAGACAATCAAAAACTAATTTAACACAAATCAATCCAGTTTTGTCACTTGTAAGAAAAAAACATCAATATGTTTCAAACCAATCCCAATGAACCAAACAAATATCGGTAATTGAAACTTGAGGGAAAACACAACTGAATCAAAAGATCTTTCTAGCCAAGCCATGTAATGACGTAGAAATAAGGAAAGAAATCAAACCAAGCAGAGCATCACTGATTAAGGCGACAGAGATCATGCAGATAGGTGGAACTGCAACACTGCGTAAATGGTCTGCACCACCGTGAGGACCAACAAGACGATGGCAGCCATGAGTGAGAGGGTGGTCCATGGGCTCTTGAAGTATGTGCGGCAGAGGTTGGCTCGATGCCTTCTGCATTTCTTCTGGCTATACGTAATGACATTGTTTTGGACCTTGCTGAGGTTGCTGTTGGGGACGAATACCACGTCCTTGGCCAGGCGGTTGAACAGCTCGGCGGCTTCCGTGTCGCTTCCCAATGCGTTCCGGATGATCCGCTTGTAGTGCAACAGTTTGATGTCCTTGGCGGAGTCGATGATGCTGTCCATGAACACGACGTAGGAAGTGACCTCGTTGCCGGTGCCGATATTGAGGCGCTCGAAGGCCATGAGGTTGAGAAACATGTACTCCGTGCTGTCGTCGACTGTAAGCTTCGGCAGGCTGAGGACACCGTGCTTGAACTGGATGTCAAGGAGGCTGTCGGATTTGCTCTTCCTGAAGCGGATGCCGGCCTCGCGCAGCTCAGACGCCGACCGGATGATCGAGACTTTTGGACTGTTTTTCTGGCCACGACTAGTGGCCGCCGACGATTGCTTGCCCAACCGGCTAAGTCGGAGCATGTCAAGGAGGTGGCGGCGTTCTCCTTCCACCGTCAACGTCTTGTCCCAGAATGTCAGCACCAGTTCGTTCACGTACTCCTGGTGTGCAGATTAGTGAGACAAGAATTAAGTGGAAATTATGGACACAGACAGAGCATAAAAGTTAGTGTTACCACGCAATCACCACGACCCTCAACAAAAACCAGTTTGTACAAAACAAGCAGGGGCAGCTGGTTCTCGAACATCATCATATCTCGCTATATGCAGGGCACGGTGTACAGATTCCCGTGGTCGCTAAAGATGGGTTCATCCATTTCGTAGCCACCGTCATCGGGCTTCTTGGTCGCGACACGAATTATCTCGAGCATGAAGCACCCGTCAAGGATCATCAGATGCAGGAACCTCTCGTCCCCCGCCCACTTCCCGTCGAGGCTCTGATAAGCGCCCCGTAGCTGCTGCACGACCTCCGCCATTGCGGTCCTGACGTCTTGGAGAGACTTATTGGCTCTCTTGAGGAAGTGGGTGAGGGCCCGATCCTTGTGCTCCTCCATCGGCATGACGTTGGGGTCACCATGGTGGTATGGCCCAAAGGAGACGATCTGTGGCTTGTAGGCATGGCATTTCAACCTTCTGATGTAAGCAGGAACTCTGTATATGGATGGCTTCGGGCTTTGCTGCTTCTTGGCTGAATTACCCGTGTTCTCGGTTTGGTCATCGATCTCCAGCGCCCAGCTTCTCTCTTCGGTGGCCATGGGCTGGTCTCTAATCTTCACCGCCCAGTTGCTCTCTCTTGTGGCCATGGAAGTGGGTGTGGTGTTCGGTAGTCCAAGCAGCTTAAGAACGGCATCACTTGGTTGTGCTTTATAAGCATGCAACGTGGAACATTTCCACGTCATTACCTGTTTAATTGGAGCATTGGGACCAATTAGTGATCCGAGGATGCATAACAGATGAATATATCTGAAGGAGTTATTATGCATATTTCCGCGAAACTACACTACCCAATAAAGCATGAAGCCAACTCGAACGTGTTAGGAGAGAGTTGAGTGTTCCTTTGAGATTGAAGGATGCTGTGGTACCAACTTGTAATGCACACAAAATGGCACTCCTTTAAGATTCTTCCTTTGGATCACCTCACCTATTCCTCTCTCGTGCGTAATGCACACAAAGTGGCGCCAACTTCTACAAGACAATCGTTTGGTGTGGGTGTGTAAAAGCCACAAGCAATCATGGAATGATAACATTTAGTAGGACAAGGCAACAATAAAAGCATTAAAGCCGGTGATAGATCCGTCATGAACGCAGCAAAGTACTTCCCCAAAGTCTCTAAACAAATTCAAGAGAACACTTTGCCAGCTAAAAAACAAACTCACTTCTTTATACCCACTCATTTGCATCGATTTCTAATGCATCACCATTAGGAACCAAGTCATAGATACTCCATTCATGTCATGTGTGTTTCTCATGATATACCAATATCGTCAAAATTGATTCGTTCAACAAGATGAACAACCTAGAAGAGAGATAAAGAACTTAAGGGAAATCCTCCCTCGTATAAATAGAAAAGGGATATATTAATGCATTCAAGCTTCTTTACTTTTTCAATAAAGCTTCTTCAATAATTCTTCTTATCTTTTATTATTTCTAACATGGTATCCAATGAGAAAAACGAAGCTTCGCCCTTGCCTCTGGCCAGCGACCAACGCCACTGCAGCCACATTCCTAAGAGGCTCCGCGGTCAATCCTCATCTTCGTCACTATGGTAGTCTTCACTGATCTGCCAACAGTCGACGGACTTGAGGAGAACGAAGGGAACGCTTGTGCCCTCAACAATCTACACGCCAGGACTCAACGGTCCGGTGCGCTCTCCTTTGTGTATACGTACAGCCGTGCCATGCACAGCACCGCGTAGATCGCCACTGCGTGCACGAACTTAAGCCACCGCAATCACCCACCTCCTTGATACTGCTGTAGCATCATTGTAACATCGTTGTAGCTTTCTCCTCTACTGTAGCTTCCTCCTTTGTTGCAGCTTCTTCCTCTGCTGCAGCATTGCTATAGCTTTCTCTATTGCTGTAGCTTTCTCCTCTAGTGCAACAGCCATTGCCATCGCAGCCACAACAATAGTAATAGCAACCGTAGCAGTAGCGACGATATGCTCTTGCCCTACTCACGAAGCCTCTCGTTTTGCATCGATCCAAGATTGATATCCTTGACAGGAGCACCATCTTGCAGGGGCATGATAACAAATAAGATTTTTCCTAACTATATGAGGAAATCTCTCTACTCTGTTGAGGGAAATCCTCTATTATGTTAAGGGAAATCCTCTCTCATAATCTGTATAAATAGAAGAGGGACATGTTAATGCATTCAAGTTTCTTCACTTTTTCAATAAAGCTTCTTCAATAAAGCTTCTTCAATAATTCTTCTTATCTTCTATTATTTCCAACACCAAGATCTGAAAATATAATAAACACCAAGGAGATTAGACATTAAGTGGAGGATGTATGAAACAATTGCATGGAAGAAGGGTGTTAGAAGTTAGTAACACTGTGGACAATGGCTTGCGCATCAATTTGAAGGAGCAAATTCTTCCGACTCTCGGATTCTACATGTCTAACAGCTTTTAAAATGATCATCACTTTCGCCTTAGGAGCATTAGGAGCCTATAGAGTGTATTAGATACCTATAGGTAAGTAAAGATACATTATACTTCAAAGTATAGTTACTACACAGGTCCCTAGTTGGGAAGACTCAAGGAATCATACTGTTAAGCCCCTCATGCCAGGGATATGGGCTAAGAGTTTCATTCAAAAAGGTTAAAAGCCCTTTAAACTATCGTAGAGGGACTGACATAACGGTTGCTAAATTTGTTATTATTCCTTTTGAGCTAAAGAGTATAAAAGAGTATAAAAGAAAACTTAAAATTCAACTAGAAACAGGTTTGGCATACCCTTTCCCTTCTTGTAGCGACAAGCTCAATGACCAAGTATTAAAGTATTTGAATCTAAGGCCTATTCGAGTTTGAAAAAGATTTTAAAAAAAAGAAAAGAGGAACAATTAAGGAAGATTGATATGCATGGAGCCTGAACTAAGCTATCATATCCATTAGTTATCATTAGAAAGCCAAATAACATGAATCTTCAAAATCCTATCAATTAAGATAGGATGAAAAAATAATTCAAGCTTCAAAAGGCTCCAATAATTAGAGACCATCAAATCTAAAATATGGTAGAAAGAAATCATGACCCCCGAGTTAATCATAGTTGGCCAAAAACTGATGAAAATATTATCACATATTAGTAGTTTTTCCATCCTTAACTAGTCTCGTAAATTCAAGTCTCATATCCTTAGGAAACTTATCGATGTTTCTCCTAGATCTGGACAAGATGAAAAAATTTGACACTAACCAACGATGGAGGTCTCCATGCTTAGCTTTAAGGATCAGACTCAAAACAAATCAGCATTGTTTAGGAGTGATAGAATATGCTTGGCGTAGATGGATTTTTAATAGTGAGTAGATCTCTTAACCCAAGCCCACCATAGTCCTTAGGCTTAGTGATAATATCTCATCTTATGAGTTTCGATGTGAAAGAATCAAAACTTTAGAAGAAATTTTTAGTTATTTTGGTGATGTTTGAGGATCGAGTTTGAAATACAATGGTTGAAGAGAAAATGGGTGGGAGAGTTGATCACTAGATGATTAAAACCATTTTCCTTACTTGTGATAAAAGGCCTTTATATTAGTCTTGAACTTTTGACTAAACTTTGTCAATAAGAATGTTTTAATGGCTGAGGAGAAGACGATCTAAAGATATGAATGAACCTAGATATTTAACAGGTCAAAACCCTTCTTTAATTCTAATATTTGATTTATGAAGGTTAACTTTGAGATTAATAAGTTACTAAAAAAAGTCAAAAACCTTTAAGATCTTTTGAACATGATTTGTTATTGGCATAAGCTAAAAGAAGATCATCATCAAACATCAAATGGGTTAATTTGATCCCTTTGAGATTAAAAGGAGTAATATGTTTCCTTTCAACCTAGGTAGAGATTAGGGATGAGAGGATTTGTCGAGGAATGATGAAAAGGTAAGGAGATATGGGATCTCCTTACCTTATTCCTCTAGTGGCCTAGGAGGAGCTATTTATAAGATAGAAAGAAGGCAAAGAAATGAAAGTAGCAACCCACTTGGTAAAAATAGGAGAAATGTTCATCAGTGAGAGGAATTTAAGGATAGCAATTCAAGAAAATAAGTTAAATACTTTTTCTAAACCTAGCTTGAGAATGATGATAAGGGACTTGCCCTTAGATTTAGATATATTAAGAACCAACTCGTTAGCTGTAAGAATATTATCGTGGATGGGTCTACCTTATATAAAAATGAATTATTTAGGACTAATCAAATCACAGAGGATAGGTTTAATGCAACTAGCAAAGACTTTAGAAAGAAATTTATAAATAACATTACATAGAGCAATCAAATAAAAGTCTTTGATTAGGGAAGGATTGACCTTCTTCGAAATAAAGATAAGTCGAGTTCTTCCCTAGTAAGAGGAAAGATGATCGTAGGAATGAAGGAAGAGAAAGACTAAAGAATGAGATTTTTAAGAACCTCCTAAAAGGATTTATAGAATTCTACATTAAAACTATCAAGACTCTTGTCTCGACCCATTTGATGGTGGATAATTTTAATTTCAATGATAATAAATTCTTAGACAGACTAGAGAGAATAGCTTGAGGGATGAGGGGAAGGGAGAGGCAAGGGGCCCAATTAGGAGTATAGAAGAGGTAGAAGCCTAAAGATTAGCATACCAATTAGGAAAAGTAGTTAAGATGTGATCATTATTAGAAAGAAAGGATCCATCCTCTTTTTTTATACAAGAAATAAAATTCTTCCTACGCTTAACGGAGGCTAACTTATGGAAGAATGCAATGTTCTTATCCCCTTACTCCATACATTGGATTTTAGTATGGGACCACTACTTATGATGTTGTTGATGATTAAGGGTAGTGGCTTTGTTATGTATGGTTTGAAGATGCAAACATTCAGGATTTGAGAGGACCCTAGAATCCTCTTTGAGTTCCAATTAAGGTAACTCAACAAAAATATACTTAATGGAGGTCTCAGGATTATAGTCGTGCTTCCTTCTCCACTAAGAAATGGAGGCACTAAGGGAAGATAAACATTGATGAAGAGAGAGCATGAGATTGGACAATCTTGAGTCAGTAGATCATGGACAATGGAATGGACCTTGTAATATTCGATCCAACAATTCTAAAATTGAAAAGGCCTATAGATCTGGTTTGGAGAGAGTGACACCTAACATTGGTCAAAAAGGAATAATGGTTAGAGTGTAATCTAGGGAGATGGATGATCAAATAATTAGGGAATAAGAAAATCTAAAAGTTATTAATCGAAGCCCTATTCAATCTAGCCCTAATTCTACTATTCCCAAAATGATTGTTAGACCATGTAAAACAAGTACTAGAAAATCTTAAGTCGGTCAAAATTGAATAAAAAAGAAAATTTTTGAAATCCAGAATAGATCTACTAAGCATAAAAGGTCAACCACTCACTTTTCCAGAGGAAATAAAATTTAAATCTCCACATAAAAATATAAAATAATCATAAGAGAATCAATTGAGATAAACTCAACCCAAAGCATCTTATGAATAGGGGTGAGATCACTAGCATAAATAGCAAATAAGAGCAATGGAGAATTACCTTAATATTATATAATTAGGCTTAAAGTTTAAGAATTCTTATTAATGATGGTAGTCTTACATTTATCATGCTTCCAAAGAACTAGGATTCTGCTTGATCTCCCTGAAGCTACTACATGTTGGGTCCAGCCCATATGTGGGCTTGGACAATTGGGCCTATTGAGCCCA